GTTGTGAGTTCAATACTAGCCAGGGCTCAGGCTAGACTCAGGCCTGCTAAAATGAGTACTCAGCTGTTGGGGGCCAATGAGCTTACAGTTGTAAACCGCTTAGACATCCCATAACATGATATGAAGCGGTATATAAATGAAGCTTCTTTAACATCTTACTAGTTTTTCTCTTTAACCACATGAAACTGTGCAAATATATATACATTCAGGCTGTGCTTTTGATGTTGTAATTTAAAGCTATAATTTTAATTTTGTGAATTGTTTATGCCACAATTATTGCTGTTACATTCAGTGATATACAGTGGGGCCTTGATATCCACTGGGTTTTGGTTCCAGGATCCGCTGTGGATACCAAAATCCATGGATGCTCAAGTCTCATTAAATACAATGGCATAGTAAAATGATGCCTCTTATATAAAATGAAACAATCAAGGTTTGCTTTTTGGAATGTATACATTATTATATTATATTATAGGATATATTTTAAATATTTTCAAACCGTGGATAGTTGAATCCTTGGATAAAGAATCCATGGATATGGAGAGCCAACTGTACAGGAATTATGTTTTATGAGTAACATTAGTACAAAAATGTTCCTAAGGATTCTCTATGGTGTGGTATGGGAGGAGGTCAATGCAGGGTTGATATCATGAGTTGCTGCACCAGGTGATGCCAACCCTAGTGATGCAAGACCTCTGCTGTTGACTACAAAAGCAGGAGGACAGGTTAATTTGAACAATTAATGCAGTCCCAGATTTGGACAGAATGCAATCCTTAAGCTTTCTTTCTGATGGCAGCTACTTTTCTTTTTGCATACACATTCCCAGCCTTCCTTATTCATAATGTGAAAGATACAGCGTGGTACATATGGCTTTTGGAAAGCCACTGATCATAAATTAAACTGGAAGGGTGCTGATATCTGGCACAATGAGAGGAGCAACAGCCAAACTGTCATCAATTTGGGGAGATGTACAGAGGAGTAGCTTGGCACCATGCATAACAGAAATCTCTTCTTCTTCTTTTTTTTTAAAGGAGAACAAAAAGAACAAGGCTACTTGCTCACTTCCAAATCCAAGAGAATGCTTAATTAAGCCTTGTCTCAGCGCTGTTTGGTCCTGGACCAAGTGCAATTAAGACAGCATTCTCTCCGTATTTAAATGGCAGTGAAAGTACAGACCCAGAATGGCATGCAAACATTGGCAGGCTAAATAAAGAACTGGAACATTGCAACCTCATGAAAAGTCCATTTATTTATTTGATGATTAATGTCCCAAGCACACCACATCTGAAATCCTGTTGGTAATCCCAACTAGCATAGAATAATGGACTCAAGGGTTGACTGTTGAGTCAACATTTATGCAATTTCCCAGGCATGTCACTAGGGCTGGGCAGGGAGTTTGGGCTGCACTAAGTGACACCCTAAGGAGGGTGATACCACTGCTCCCCAATTGTCTGCCCTTCGGCAGAAATGGGCTATGGCATTTGCCCACATCCCTTTAAAATCCTGGAGCTGAGCAGAAGAGAAGGCATGAGCGGGGTGAGGGTCAGTGGTCAGAGAGAGGAGAGACCTCCTTTTTAAAATCATTTTAAAAAACTCTTTTAAAATTTTCTTTAAAGAACCACATCTTACCATTTTTTTTTATTTTGATCACATGAAACTAAGTAAATGTAAATTCATTTACCGTGCTCATGACCTTGTAATTTAAAAGTATAATTTTAATTTTACTAGTTGCTTACGTCACAACTATTGCTGCATCATCCAGTGATAGACAGGAGTTACAATTTATGAGTAACTTTAGTACCAGAAAAACAAGACTAAAGATTCTGTATGGTGTGGTATGGGAGAAGATCAATGAGGGTAGAGGGGGCGACACCATGAGATGCTGCACCAGATGATGCCAACCTTAGTGATGCCACTGTAAATGCCCTTAATTCAGTGGGTATGCTGTCATTGGAATTA